AATTTACCCAAGGGATATAAGAGTGCTAATGCATAGGGGCACATGTACCCCAATGTTTATAGCAGCGCTTTCAACAATAGCCAAATTATGGAAACAGCCTAAATGTCCATCAGCTGATGAATGGATAAGAAGATGTGGTTTATATATACAATGGAATATTACTTGGCAATGAGAAAGAATAAAATCATGCCATTTGCAGCAATGTGGATGGAACTAGAGGGTATTATGCTAAGTGAAGTGTCTGTCAGAGAAAGACAGATATCATGTTTTCACTCATATGTGTATCCTGAGAAACGTAACAGAAGACCATGGGGGAAGGGAAGTAGAAAAAAATAGTTACAGAAAGGGAGGGAGGTAAACCATAAGAAACTCTTAAATATAGAGAACAAACTGAAGGTTGATGGAGGATGGAAGAGAGGAGAAAGTGGGTGATGGGCATTGAGGAGGGCACTTATTGGGATGAACACTGGGTGTTGTATGTAAGCCAATTTAACAATAAATTATATTAAAAAAATAAAAAATAAAGTGCAAAAAAAATCATATATCACAATTGAGATTTACTCCCAAGATGCAAATGTGGTTCACTTTTTGCAAAACAATCAACATGATACATCACGTCAACAAGAGAAAGGATAAAAACCATATGATCATTTCAATAGATGCAGAACAAGCATTTGACAAAGTACAACATCCATTCATGATAAAAACTCTTTGCAAAGTGGGTCTAGAGGGAACATACCTTAATGTAATAAAGGCCTCATAAGAAAAATGCACAGGTTATATCATACTCAACGATGAAGAACTGAGAGCTTTTCCCCTAAGGTCAGGAACAACACAGGAATGTCTATTCTTAACCACTTTTATTCAATACAGTACTAGAAGTCCTAGCCACAGCAATTAGACAACAGAAAACAATAAAAGGGGTAAACTTTTTTTTTCACAAGTGGTTTTTAATTTTGGTTTTAGTTTATCAGATCCAGGGCCAAGTCCAAAATATACTTTTCTGTGATGTTGTTTTGGTCAGGAGTTTTTTTGTTGGTAGCAGAGACTATTATAGTGGAAAGTGATTTGTTAAAGGTATCAGGAAGCTAAGAGAATATAGAGAAAGCCAGAACCAGCTTGGGAGTCCATGGTCCATAGAAATGCACACTCCACACAGGACCATTCCATTAGCAGCCACTGCCTTTCTACCCCAGAACCACCATTTCCGCTTCCTGGCCAGGGTCTCCCAGTGATGTGTTGCTTTGCTGAATTTAGAATACATGGCAACTACATTTGTAAGAGGTTTATGCAATGGATGTTCCGTCTTTCTAGCTCAGGACCATACAGAAGGGCAAGCCAGAAAGGAAAATGGAATTGGTATTGAGTAAGCCAGTCTATATCTGCCATGATATTAAAGACCAGTTTGTGATTTTAGATATTTTTCTTTTGGCATAAGCATAGTTATTAGTTCTTCTGGTATGGTTTTTCTTATTAAAATTCTCGTACTGCTCTATAAAGAATTCAATTTCTCTTTATCTCTGACCACTTTTGAAAATACCTGTAACGTGATCAGGAGAAGACTGTGACTTTGCAGATAAAAGTGATACTGGTTTCCCTTTGCCCTGGGGATAGAGTCCAAATGGCACACAGGACTTTGCAGCCTGACCCGACCAACCTGGACAACCTCTGTTCCAGCCACTTTCCTTCATAATCTCTCTGCACTGAACCTTCTGCCTGTCCCTGATCATGCCATGCTCTCTCATATCTTTGCTCAAGTTTTCCCTTCTGCCTGAAACCCTCTCTCCTGTCTCTACACTAAGAAAACTCTTGCTTGTCTTGCAAGATTCAGCTCAACCAGTCCTTTCTCTTTGAACTTTTCCTTGATTTCTTTAGGAAGAGTTAGCTTGTCTTTCTGCATGTTATAACACTCATCACATGACACTGTCATTATTTGTTTACATGGTTGTGAATTCCATAAGAACTCTCAGTGTCTCAAAGGCACATTGAATGTATATTGAACAAGAATGAGTTTGAAACATTGCCATAGAGTTGATTTTCAAAAACAAAAAGGAAAGAACATTTTAGTGAAATTGGTATATAACAATACTGCTTGAATATATTAAGCTGTTTTTTTTTAAATTTTGTTTTTGTAACCAGAAATTTATTAACGTGTGTGTCTCATGGATACATATGGGAATACTCAGCCATAAGTAATGCTGAAAACTGTTTTTTTATTTTCTGGAACTATATATGAGGATTGTTGATGAAATTGGTATTTAGCTATTACTTAAGGAATTCGAATATTTCTGGTTTCTTGTAGTACATATAATTATTATTTTGGCACTAGTGTTGTGGATTTTCTACTTTTGTCCAAAATAATGTTTCAAAAATGAAAATGCAAGTGTACATATAATTATGGTGTATATGTTCTGTTAGAATATAAATCCTTGAAAAAAGGAGGACAGGGGCATATGGTCAGAGGAGAGGAAACCAACATTTGATGATCAATTACCTTATTTATCAGGCATTTCTGGGTGCTATTATACCTATTGTCTTATTCAGTTCTCAGAACAGTCCTTGGAGACAGGGAACATTACTGCCACGACACAGTGTTAAAAGTTGAGGTTTCAAAAGACAGGTATCTTATCAGGGTCACAGCTGTTAACTGATGGGGGAAGGAATTCAAACCCAAGTCTGTGTAACTGCAAATCTCATGTTTTTCTAACTTTGCTGGCTTTGGAGTTTAGAACTTTGTATAAAAATGTGGTGTTATAAGACTATTGGGGTGCCTGAGTGGCTTAGTCAGTTAAGTGTCCGACTCTTGATTTCTGCTTAGGTTCTGATCTCACGGTTCGTGAATTTGAGCTCTGAGTCAGGCTCTGCTCTGTCAGCTGAGGATTCTCTCTTTCCCTCTCTCTCTGACCGTCCCCATGCTTGCACTAGCTCATTCTCTCTCAAAGTAAATAAATAAGCATTAAAAAAATATTTGTTGTTTTTCTTCTTAGTATATAAAAAATTGCTAAGTAAGACTGTGACTGTAAAATTAATAAAACATTTTTCTTAAGTTTGAGGAATCCTGTTTTAAGAAAATAAAACCTTTTTGAAAGTTTTGATAATAATCATGAATACAGCCATTTCACTGGTTATATTACATTCTGTATTACCCAAGCATCTGAAAGCTTGCTGTCAAAAGTATTATGATGATAATATAAGAAACTTTAATTGGGCAACTACATGGTCATCCAGTTAATTCTCTTGCTATCTGAGAGAATAAGCTCTCTAGAGGAAGATAAAAGAAGAAAGGAGATGTTGGATATGAAATATCATCATGAAATCAAGTGGAGGAGTGCATAGAAGCCATCTAGGAGGTCACTGATAATGGTGCCAGAGAGAAGGGTAGAGTCAAAAGTAAGTTGAACAAGAGGTGCCTGGGTGGCTCAGTCGATTAAGCATTCATCTCTTGGTTTTGGCTCAGGTCATGGTCTTGAGGTTCATGGGTTCCTGCCCTATACTGCGCTGTCAGTGCTGAAGCCTGCTTGAGATTTCTCTCTCCCTCTCTCTTTGCCTCTCTCTCTCTCAAAGTAAATAAATAAACTTAAAAAGAAAAAGTAATTTGAATGAGCTGGTACAAACCAAGCAGGTTGGAAGTGGAGAGAACAAATAAAGACATATGTTGTCACAAATGATCTAATCGAAGCCTTTCATTTTGCAGTGAGGGAAACTGAGGTCCTTAAAGATAAAATTTTTACCACACCATGCATGTGTTAGTAAATGGCCAGGTGGGGCCTTGAACTCCTCTGACCCACACTCAGTGATTTTTCTTCTGTACCACAATTACTCTAGAAGAGAAAAATGTCTGCAAAAAGTTCTAAAGAGAGACCTTTAAAGATCTATTTGACAAGAGCTGCTTGTAAATGAAAACAGTTACTGCCAGGAGCATTTCGTCATCACAAGGGATCCCACCTTGTGTATGACTGAGTGTGATAACTTCAGCAGTTCAGCACCCAGCTATTTGGAATCCTGGAAGAATTATGAACTCTGAAGGCTTGCTTTACCTTTGTTAGAAAAACAGATGCTACTTCCCTTTTGTTTTCCTCATGCTGTAATTCAAAGACATTTTCTAACTTTTGATTTTGGCTCAGGTCATGATCCCAGGGTCATGGGATTGAGCCCTGTGTCCGGCTCTGCAGAATGTGGAGTCTACTTAAGATTCTCTCTCTCTCTCTCTCTCTCTCTCTCTCTCTCTCTCTCTGCCCCTCTCTACACCTCCTGTGTACGTGCACACACTCTCTCTCTCAAAAATAAAAAAAATAAATAAATAAAACACAAAGGCATTTTCAGAGAATTTTTTTCCCATAGTTAGAGTTAGGCTCTTTATGATACCTCATATTGTTTTGTTGTTGTTGTTGTTGTTTTTGGAGTTATTTTCTGAAATCCAGAATGGCATTTTTCATTGCATATTCTAGCATTCTTTGTGTGATTGTGTGTTCTATCAAGGTTTTTCTACCAAACGCAAGTTTATTTCTTCTGTTTTAGTTTCTGTTTATTTTATTTTATTTATTTTTTTTAATGTTTATTTATTTTTGAGACAGAGAGAGACAGAGCATGAGCAGGGGAGGGGCAGAGAGAGAGGGAGGCACAGAAGCTGAAGCAGGCTCCAGGCTCTGAGCTGTCAGCACAGAGCCCGATGCGGGGCTCAAACTCACGAACTGTGAAATCATGACCTGAGCTGAAGTCGGATGCTTAACCGACTGAGCCACCCAGGCGTCCCTTAATTTCTGTTTAGTATTGAGATAATTCTCTTCTTTCTGCTCTCCTATCATTATGATGGTCAAATAACTATGGGAGAACCTGGTGTTGATAGGTCTGTGATGGTTAATGCAAATTTAAAGGAGAACTTGTCTTAACCCATTTTTTTCCCCTCCTTCCCCTCCTAGTTTTCATTTTTAACCTAATGGCATGGCATCCTCTCTCTTTGCACATTCATACTCTTCTAAATTCATGCCCTTCTGTTGCAGGTATGATGAAGCCAGCAGGGCCTTTGGGGGCTGCTGTTCCTGGGGGGATGTTGCCTCAGGGCCCTTCACCTCCTGGACCCCATCAGTTTGGCCAGAATGGAGCTCATGCCCAAGGGCATCCTCCCCAAAGGTGAGCTAGGTAGATTTCAACCCTCATTTGTATATTCTACTAAAATGGTCTCACAAGTCCCTTCTAAACTTGCATGTTTATTGGTTGAAAGTTTGACCTCTTGATTCTGCCCACACCCTTGAAAGGACTTGCTAGAAGACTGCCCTGGGAGACAAAGCATTTAGAAAAGGTAGGAGGGGGAAGAAAAAAACAATGCTGGTACATACTAAAAAATATATAAAAAATTACTTGTATCAATACCACACATTTTAATTTTGGATTATATTCCTCTTGTTTTAGAGTTCTGTATTAATCTCTAATTCCTTCAGATGTCTATGGCCTGTATTCCCCAATAAATTTTAAATTCTCTATCCTCTTGAATCCTTCATAGAACAGATCTCAGTGCCAGTAGGTGCTTCATAAATATTTTAAAAATTAAATCAGATTGTGGCCAATGGTAAAAACTGGATTTGATGTGGAAGGTACACAGATGCCGATGAAGGATTTTTGCAGGACAATAGTAAAAACAACAGAGGAAATAAATCTTCTGTTTGTGTTTTTATAATGAATTCAGGAAGGAAAAGGTGAAAGTTGGAGGCAGGCCTGAAGAAGCCACGATAGGAGATGTAGGAGATATGTAGAGATGTGCACCCCACTGGGGACTGTCACCTGGGAGGGGAGCCAACATCACACCTTCCCTGCTGGAAGTCCCATTATTGTTTGTCCTGTGAGCTGCCACTGTTGAGACTCCTAGTGCCAAGCTGTATGTAGTGTTTACTTTGGAATTTCTCCAAGGGGTACCTGGAGGCTTCATTTCCCAGGTTCCTTTCCCAGGCTGTTAGGCTGTAGGGTTGGGTGGGAGGAGTAACCCCTCAGTGTGAATCTGGACCCTGCTGCTGCTGAAGCCATTTAGTTATCCTTTCAGGGAGCCTGAGAGTAGTCCCTGTTAGTGGGAAAACTCTCTGGAATTTTAAAAATCGGCAAGTTAATTCTCTTAGAGGCCATTGGTGAGGTTCATACTTTCTGGCTCGTTTGTCATGATAACTTCTACCATTGGAACGGTTGCTGTGAGATACAGAGTGAAGGTTAATGCAGGAAACAGGATGAGTGAGTCTAAGTAATTTGGTTTATATGTGGTTTAACAAGGAGCACAAAGTCAATGGACCTGACTCAGGACCTGAGTAGTCTCACTAGCAATGGTGGTGGGGCACAAGGATCAGAGTAGAAAGGCTAAGAACCAAGATGCCTTTTCCAGCTCAAAAAAACCCCAAAAAACAAAAAACAAAAAACAAAAACAAACTAGTTGTGTGATGCTGGTGAAGTTCCTGGGCCTCTAGGCCTCCTCATTTTCTTCACTTGTAAAATGTAGAAATAGAACTCCTAGTCCAGATTACAGAGGAGAAGATCTGGAAAAGTTTATTGTGAACTGCCAGCATTTCAGATTTTTTTTTTTTTTTTAACAAGAAATGCAGAAATTAAACATCTGGTTTGAAGCTAAGAAAGCTTTTGGTCACTGATATTAGCCTTGATTGTATTGATCTTTTTGGTTCTTTCCATTTGTTTCACTTGAATTAGGTTCCTTAGAAATAAGTAAACTGTGGATTTTGCCATCAAGACAGACCTTCGCTGTGTGGTTCTGAGCTCAGCACAGAGTCTGGCACAGTGAAGAGTGTAGACTGTGTAGAGTCAGGACATGTTTGCTACTCTTGGCTGAGGCAGCTGTTCCTGAGTTCCCTCATCACAATTTTAACAATAATAATGTAGTTGTAAGGATTTTGATGATTAATGCTTGCAGAGAATCTTGCATAGTGTGCAATGCCCAGGAAAGACTCAATATGTGTTAGCAGTTATCAGTACCATTTTCAGTGGATATAGAAAGTCTACTGTCTGTAGCTTGTCCTTCCTACTCATTCATTCTAGCTACTCATGACAACTTAGGAATTTGGTTTTATTGTGATTCCCAGGGAAACCTTGACAGATTTTTCCCCCCTCTCTCTACTATTTGCTTACTTCAACTTGAACTTGAATTAAAGATTGGAAATGGGTTTAAAAATGAGAAAGTCATGGAAAAGTCAAGTATTCAGACTCAGTGTCCATGTTTTCCATGTTAATTTGCCCTCATGGGACATATTTATGTGTATATAGTTAAATGAAAGGGCAAAGGACACAATGATTATGCAGGTGAATCACACAGGGATGGTCAGAGAGTATAGATGGCTCGCGACATCTTCGTGTGACATCACAATTTCTTTGATGATTATAGCACTTCATAGGTGTTGTTTGTACTTAGAGAACCCATCAAAAAAATCTCTTAATTTTTACCATATCTAAACTGTCTACTAAAAACAAGATATAAATCAGTTATTATGTTGATTAAAATTTAAAAATTTATAATTTTTAGTTTTAAATATTGCTCCTTCATAGGCAATGCTTCATAAAATTTAAAAATCATACTTAGTCATTTGTCTTATTGATGTGGCTGAGGCAGAATAAATGTCTTAAACGTGTAAATGGTACCAAAGTTATCTTCAAACTGTTACTGCTGGGTGGGATTAACCTAATGAATAAAATCTATAACTAAAAATCCATTTTTTAATTAGAAGAGGAAAAGTCAATTTTAAGTTATCTATTTTAATCAAAAATGATGGATTGGGGTGGAGAGGGTATGAAGAGGAGACTCATCTTCCCCCATCAAAGCTGATAGGGTGAAATCTGCTAAGAACTTGGTTGCAGTGAAAAGGAGGTATCAGGAAAAATAAGAGAAATAGTTGTTTTCTCTTTATTCTTTTTTGTTTTCTTTCTTCTTTGTGTGTGTGTGTGTGTGTGTGTGTGTGTGTGTAAAGCAGTGATGTTTGGTACAGGTTTTGTTTACTCTGTGGGCTGAGTATTTAAAACCCAGGCCATTTTACTTCAGGCCAATCTTGAAAAAATTGTTATCTCCACATTCTAACAAACTTCAGCACAAAACTCACTACTTGAACAATTCATTGCAAACTTAAAAATAAGAAGTATTTGAAGTTGAACAGGCCACAGACAATGCAGTCAACTCTCCAGAGGGTTAGGACTAAACTGAGCCTAAATATTCATGTTTTATTAACCCTCTGATAGTAACTTTTTATTGACTGCTGTTTTTGGGGGCACCTGAGTGGCTCAGACGGTTGTGTCCAACTTCAGCTCAGGTCATGATCTCACGGTTTGTGGGTTCGAGCCCCATGTCAGGCTCTGTGCTGACAGCTCAGAGCCTGGAGCCTGCTTCAGATTCTGCCTCCCTCTTTCTGCCCTCCCCCACTCACACTGTGTTTCTCTCTGTCTCTCAAAAATGAATAAACGTTTAAAAAAATTTTTTTTGACTTTTGTTTTTTATGGTGAATCTGCCCTTTTCTGACATTCATTGAAACAATAAATTAAAATATAGAATTGAATGTTTTCTTAGACCAGAAACCTATTAAATGAAGGAATCAACATGAGAAATATTTAAATCATAGAATTCTTAATTTTAACCACATTATATTTATAGCACAGAAGGGGATCTTTGAATTCTGTCTGCTCATTTTTTCAGTTTGAAAGCTGAGAGCTATGGAGATTAAGTGGCTTGCCTGTAGTCACACATCAGGGTCTCCAGGCTGGGAGCCTTAAGACCTGGATTCACACTTAAAACTCTGATACCTCCCTGCTGTGTGACCTTGGATTAACTAAGTTAGTAAAGAAATGAAATTGAAAAATATTAAACCATGTTTAATATTTGTATGTTTAGAGGCTCCTGGGTGGCTCAGTCGGCTGAGCGTCCTACTTCGGCTCAGGTTATGATCTCACAGCTCATGAGTTCGAGCCCCACGTCAGGATCTGGGCTGACAGCTCAGAGCCTGGAGCCTGCTTCAGATTCTGTGTCTCCCTCTCTCTCTGCCCCTCCCCCACTCGTGCCATGTCTCTATCTCTCAAAAATAAATAAACGTTAAAAAATATATATTTGTATGTTTAAAATGTTCTGTTAATTTCTTTTCCCTTATTTATTTAGCCCTTTAATACTACTTTACTCTTAAGTAGTATTAAAATTGCTTTTAAAATTCAAATATGTTTAAGATTTATAACATTTAAGTTGGTTACAAAAAAAATTTATTTCTAAAGCCCCATTCCCAGGACATATATTAAGCAATGAAGGATAAGTGGCATTTATGGGTTAAAAGCATGGCCTAATGGTTGTGTATTCTCTCATTCTTTATTTTAAATCATCAGCCTTTTGTTAAGTTAAAAAATACTGAAGGTTGCTTGTGTCATAACTTCCATTTGAAACATACTTCATCCTGTTTGTACTATCTATATAATAAATTATTCATATAATTTTATATTTTAAAAATATGATTAACATTTGTGAAATACTTGTGAATATATTTTAGATAATTTTTTTCTTAAGCAATTGAATAATGTCCCCCTGCACCCAATTTAACTGCTAGTTCTCAGTTCCTGCTTATTAGATCCAACTCCTATAACAATACCTCATTCTACATCTACTAATACATTCTTATATAGAATGTACATTCTGCCTGTGTGCAAGTATTTCATGTATGTATCTCTCATAACTTTTTTAAAAAGACAATACCATTTCTTCAAAAAAAGATTTTTAATCAGTGAATTTATAAAACATTATTAAGACAATTCTTGAAATCATTTCTAAGTGACCAACAATATTTTAAATGTGTCAACACTAGAGTTATGTTTTGCCCTGCCTTTTTTACTCCTAGTGTCATTAATAAATTAGAGAGATAAAGGAAACTTTTATGTGAGAAGTTAACTTTTATATTTTCTATCTTTATTCAGTTTTGTTACACAAATTATTTAAATTAAAAGATGTTTAATGTAACTGCATTGGTCTGGTTTCAGTTTTTGACAGGAGAGGAAATTGACAGCTTTGCTAAGCAATATTGTTTGGGCTAAAGTGTTAATCATTGTAACTTTATAACCCTTTATAACCAAGTATTTGCTATACGATAGCTTGTACTTTTACATAGAAATAGCATTTTGATCATCATCCATTTAACTCAAAGTGTGGGATATCATCATTCTGTAATATACTTAACATCATACAGCATAATGGTCTGAAGGTTAATTGTAAGTTTTGTTATAGTAATTATTCAGTTTAAGATATATGGAAGAAAATGACAGAAGAGAATTAGTGTGATGTTTTGGAAAGTGTGCTTGCTTAAGACCTAGGGAGAGGTTAGTCCTGGTTTCGTCACACACAAATTGTGGGACTTCAGGCAAGCCACTGGCCTCCCTCAGTGGCAGTGAAGGATGGAAGGCAAGAGCGTGGGCCACTAGGGATATAGTTTCCAGTTTATGGAGAAATTGAAATCAGAGTATACTATCTGGGAAATTTTCATTTAACATTTTTATTTAACACTAAAAATTAAAAGGAAGTTATAATGTAATTTGAAGGGAAAGCTTTAACTTTATTCAGCAGATGAACTACAATAGGAACACTGTTCAGATGGAATAAATATACAGTAAGTCCAAACTAAATTAAAGGTTAAATAAAGCATGGTGAAATTTTTAGATGAAAAAGAATGAATGACTTCAAAACTTTTTACTGAGTTGTTCACTTTCAGGTCCTGTTCTGCAGGGAATGTCCTGATTGCTGAAATTAGTGTGCAGTTGACATTTTATTTTAAAAAGCTGGGTAGGGTATAAGGATAATGATCATAAAGATACAACTACAAAGCATTTTATTTTTCTAGTTTCCGTTCTGTTGATCATTAACTCTGGTATAGATAAGGCTGTGGTGGACTCAGCTTCCAACTGCATTTCTAAAGCTGGTTCTCTGTTTACATTAGGAATTTTTTGCTAAGTATCTTGACATGTTGAGCCTGTGAGCATAGATATGAGATGATGTTACATGATTCATTTTAAGTTTACACTCAGATTAATTACAGACTTAATTATATCAGTCTAAAATATCAGTCTAAAATATCAGTCATTGCCCTAGTGCCCACAAGATGGGCTTACTTAATTTTACAAGTTTTTGACACTTGTTGTTTATCATTTCATATGAAACTATGATACTGTTTAACATTCTTTTTTCTCTCATAGATTTCCAGGTCCTCCACCTGTCAACAGTGCAGCATCCTCCTATGCACCATACTCACCCTCTACACAATCATCTTATCCAAGTCCTGCATCCACTTCATCCATCACCCACCTGGGCAGTCAGCTCAATGCTATGCACATCAACAGCTATGGTAACAGTTTCATTATTAGTGTTCACTGACTGTCTATTTCATTAGCATTTTTAATGAGGAAGGTTTACTCCATCTTTAAAACATACATGACTCTGGCACACCATACTGAAGTAATTTTTTTGACATTTTTATATAAATCATTATTACGTATGGCTATAATTAATTTTTTTCCTGATGATGCTGCCATTTATTTCAAAATAGTTTGAAGACCCTCAGAAAACCTTACGTTCAATATTAGAGTAATAAAAAAAACAAAAAAAATTTCTGACTTTACAAATAAACATAGAACAGTGAAGTTATTTTAAGAAATGTGAGGTTAGGTTTAACCTTGTGTTGTTTATAATGGGGCCCTAAAATGAAAAATATAATACTCCTTGTTTCACAGTGTGTTTTGATTCTGTCTTTAAATCATGAAAAGAATGGAAGCTCAGATGTTGTGAGGCAGAAAGGAGAATAATAGGAGAGAAAACAGTTACAGTACTGAGATTTATATCAATAGAAATGCTGTATATTCCAAGTGTCATAGGAATGTTCACTGTAATAGGAGCATAGTCAGCCATTGATCTTGATGAAGAATGTTTCCATTACTTAAAGTTAGTTTTCTGGAAGTATCTGTTAAAAAAACCCCTCTATTTCCTATCTTTTATTGATTTCAAGATGGATAAGTCTCCAGTGAAGCAACTAAATTTCACATAATCAGAAATAGAAAAAATAATCTGGTGTCACATCTATTTCCAGTATGATTAGAAAACATGTTAGTGGCCCATCCCTTCTCCCTTGTTATTTCTACCTGATTCTGAAATCTATTTGACCAAGTCAAGCACAGGCCACAAATAATTTATTGAATGTATGAGTTACCTGGATCATGCTTGTTACATGATAAAATTTTCTTCTATATGATTTTCTAGGTTTTGTACCAAAATACAATTCCTTAATTAGTGACATGTATCATGTAAAGTTAATGCAACATAGTTAAAATTCATCCCATTAATTTTCTCACCAAATGCTTTTACTCTTTAAAAATTCTCCAATTGTGTAAAATGCCCCAAATAGCATTTGTATAGCTTTCTGAATGAAAATTCATCTTGTGGCAAAAAAAAAAAAAAAAAAAAAAAAAAAAAAAAAAGAAATTGGTGTATAAGTGTGCCTTCTTGTTTTATGTCAGGAAAAGAGGTGTCCCTGTTGCGTACTTTGTAGAAGTTGGAGAATTGAGAAATTCAGTGTTCAGTGGTCTGGTCTTCTTTTCTCACACAGGTTCAGGCATGGCTCCCCCTGGTCAGGGGCCCCCCGGCCCTCCACCAGCGCCTTCCTTCCAGGGTCCTCCACGACCTCCGCAACCATCTATTATGCAGCCTGGATCTCAAGTTCTCCCACCACCACCCACCACACTGAATGGCCCTGGGGCCTCACCCTTGCCTCCGTCAACACACAGGCAGGATGGGTTCCCTGGGCCTGCTCCTCTGAATACCCAGTACCCGCCCCCGCCTCTTCCAGGACAGAGCCTGGGCACTGGATATCCACCGCAGCAGGGTAAGCAGCTTTGCTCTGTGTTACTAGGCATCCATCACTTACTTTTAAGGAAAGCTAGTTTTCGATTAGTGTGGCAAATGTAGAGGAAAGGGGAACCATAGACATTCACACTTAACTCTCTTCCCCTATAGACATTCACACTTAACTCTCTGCCTTTATATAATAAGATGAAAAAATGCAGCATGCTTGACTGAATAGTGTAATATGGTCAGTGAACACTGCATCTGGGACTTTGGGTTCTTCTAGTCATTTCTTTTTTAAATTTTTTCCAAGCAGCCAACTATGGTCCCCAGATGGCAGGTGGGCAGCTCTCCTACCCAGGAGGCTTCCCTGGAGGTCCTGCACAGATGGCTGGTCCACCACAACTCCAGAAGAAGCTGGATCCTGACTCCATCCCCAGCCCAGTAAGTGCTCTCTCTCACTCCCACCATCTCCCTCACAAAGGACCATTCTTTATTCACTGTCTCGGAAACTCTTCAGTTTGTTAGCATTTATCCTGTCCTTTATTGTTGAAGCACAATACCCATCACATAGAGGCTTCCTTCTTTATGTATGGGGGTGGGGAAACTGGGTTCTGGCATATCAGGGATCTCCATCACAGAAAGCCTGTGTAGATTTTTGTTGTTGTTGTTGTTATCACATAAACTTAACAATACTATTGATGTTTATATTGGCATATATTAGCAGTGTTTATTGATTATTTAATGAATAATTAGTAGAGTATATAAACATGCTAGTTTAAATAAATAAAGGACCCTTTTCAATAAGGGTAAGATACCCATAGGAAGTGAAAGCACAAGGTATTTTACAATTTGCCTATTGAAAATTGTTCTATATAAAATTAGAGTTGTAACTTCATTCTTCTCCATCCAAGTGATTTTCTTTGGAAGATTACTCTTTCGTAATTGTATCAGTCAGCTTTTATTAGGTTATTCTCCATAACACACAATCCCCAGTTTTACTTCCAAGCATGAAGATTTATTGATTGCTTAGGTGACCTGTAGGCTGTAGCAGCTGCAGTTTGGCTTTAGGTGCTGCTCTGTGTGTCCTTATCATTCCAGAAACCAGCATGAAGGGGCATCCTGTGTTTGGGACATGTTATTATCACAAGAAAGAGAGAAAGGAAAGAGAACTGGCCAAAAGGTGCAAGAGTTCTTAAAATTTTTGCTTAGATGTGGTACATGTCACAACCACTCACATGCCTTTGGCCAAAGCAAGTCATAACAAAGCCCTGGGTCAATGGGGCAGGGATGTATACTCCTGCTTCAGGAGAAACTGCAAGTCTGTATCAATGAGCCCACATGTATAGTCCTTTTGGAAGAATGATGAAATTGATACAGTTAACTTGGGTCTTTGAAGTGGTTCTATAAACATGAGTAGAAAAAGTTAGAGATAGCCCAAAGAGTACAAAGAGCTACCGTATTAGCCAACTTTTGCTATGTAATAAACCATCACCAATCTTAGTACCCTACAGCCACTATTTATTAATACTCATGAGTCATGGGTCCTCTGGGCAGTTCTGCTAGTCTGGGCCAAGTTCGATGGATTTGGTCTGAGCTTGCTTGTGCACCTGGGGTCAGCTGGAGGGTTGGCTGGAACCTGAATGGCCCAGGATAGTATATTAACTCTCTGTGGCTGCTGTGCCAAATTACACAAACTGGATGACTTAAAACAATAGAAGTTTATTCTTTTGTGGTTCTGGCGGCCAGAAGTCTGAAATCAATGTGTTGGCAGCGCTGTGCTCCCTTGAAAGGCTCTATAGGAAAACCCATTCCTTGTCTCATCTAGCTTCTGGTGGCTGCAGGCATTTCTTGGCTTATGGCCACATTACTTTTATATCTGCCTCTGTCATCTTGTCGCCTTCTCCTCTTCTTTGTGTCTTCTCTTGCCATCTCAAAACTCTTTCTTCCTCTCCATGAGGAAGTTATGCATGATTCCTTTCATGGCCCACCCAGGTAATTCAGGAGAAGTGCTTGTTTTGAAGACTCTTAATTTAATCAGTTCTTTTACCATGTCACAGGTAATAGTCAAAGGTTTCAAGGATTAGAACATGGACATATCTTTTGGGAGGGCCACCACTGATGGTGTTATTCATGTGCCTGGTACTTGGACCCATTTGTTAGTTGGGAATGCTTGGACTGTGTTACCAAGCAGGCTAGCCTGGGTTTGTTCATGTGACTGTGGGAGAGATCTGAGAGGGAAAGTAGGAATATGCAAGGCCTCTTGAGGCCTTCCTTGGCTTGGAACTAGAACATTGCACTTCTGTGGCATTCTCTTAGCCAGAGCAAGTCATAGGATCACCCCAGAGTCAAGGAGTAGAAAGATAAGACTCTGCCTTTTGATGGGAGGACCTGAAAAGTCCTTGAAAAAGGCACACAGAGATAGAGGATTTTGGTTATTTTTGTGGTCTACCCACTTATTCTATGTTTATTTGAATATAAACTTGAAGATTTGTGATAAAGTGTCTGATCCTATAACATGTTAGAAATTAAGGTTTAATTACTCTTAGTGCCTTTATAGATAATTATGTTACCAGCCATTACTTTTATGGCTTAATATTATTTCATTATTCTAGTTAAAGGAATATCCTATATTTACATTGAATTCATCATTTTATCTTAACTTCTTGTTTCTCTGCTTCTATATAACGTCTATAGACCCTCTGGCTCATTCCACTTTGTTCTCTGAAGTTTTTAGCTCCAGGTTCACTGTTAATCTCTCCAGTACTATTTTTTGTCACAATTATTGGCAATCACAATTTTACTATCCATCTTTAGAAACTTTCATTTCTTGATCTTCTTTGCTCCCAGTGTTCTTTTCATCCACCCCACCTCAGTTATCCATAGTCTTACCATTAATCTTATCATAACCAATTACAGGAAACTTCAACATCTCAGTTGAAACCATCTTATTTTCCAACCACTGCCTCATATATTTTTGGCTCATCCCCTTTAGGACTACTCAAACCTGAATAATGATTCACCCGTCAGGACATAACTCACCACCTTTTCTCTTATACCGCCTTCATCTTCTCACTTATCTTATGCAACTTAGATTATTTGATCCATGATTATAGGTCTGTCCCTTATATCTTCTACTCTCAACTCCTTTGCCCCTCTCTCTCCACTGAATTCATCTAGAAAAATACCATTTGTTAGTAAACCAACTCTCCACCTACTCCATGCCTGCACCCCAGATGCTGCCTGGTGCTTGAGAAAAATCACACCGTACTTTTAATTTCTGACCACTGAACTAACGTGAACCTATAGTTGTGTGATTCTAAAACCTGGCTGCACAAAAGAATTGATGGTGGAGCCATAAAAATATTGATGCCTTGGGGCACCTAAGTGGCTCAAGTTGGTTAAGTGTCTGACTCTTGATTTTGGCTCAGGTTATGATCTCACAGTTTGTGGGGTCGAGCCCCACATTGGGCTTAGCAATGACAGTGCAGAACCTGCTTGGGATTCTTTCTCTGTCTCTCTTTTTCTCTGCCCCTCCCCTGCTGTATCTCTCAAAAATAAATAAGTAAACATTAAACAAAAAGTTCTGGTGCCTTGCTGCCCCCTGCTAACTTGATTTAATTAGACTGGGATATGGACTGGACATGGAGATTTTTTTTTTTTTTTTTTTTTTTTTTTTTGGAGCTCTCTTGCTGATTCTAATGTGTAGCAAGTTTGAAGACCATCACTCATTTTCCTGGTGACTATCATTTCTTCTCTCTTCAAACTCCTAACACTTCCTTCCCCTTTCTGACTCTTTACTGATAATCTTGTTTGTTATTTCAGTGAGAGAATAGTAGCAATCCAAAAAGAACCTCTGCATGCTCCGCTGCCACGTCTCCCTGCATCTGTGCCCATTTATCCCCCTCTCCCATTACTGTGAATGAACTTCTCCTCCCAACCAAGGCTATCACCTCCTAGATTCCTTATGGCCTCTCAAGGATAACTCTTCAGCAAGTATCTCCTATATTAGAGTTCTGCAAAAAACCAGAACCAACAGGATATATTTGTATGTATCTCTATCTACCTACTTACCTACCAACAGGATGTATGTGTGTGTATCTATCTATCTATCTATCTATCTATCTATCTATCTATCTGTGTGTCATCAACAGGATGTATGTGTCTGTCTATTTGTCTAGCTATCAATCAATCAATCAATCAATCAACAGGATGTATGTGTCTGTCTGTTTATCTATCTACCAACAGGATGTGTATGTATATCTTTATCTATCTATCCATCCATCCATCCATCTATCCATCTATCCATGTATCTTTCTATTGAGAGAGTTATCTTAAGGAAGTTACCCACTCAGCTGTGGGAACTAGCAAATCTGAAATCTGAAGGGCAGGCCAGCAGACTGGAGACACAGAAAAGAGTTGGTTTTGCAGCTCAAGTCCAAAGACATCTAGAGACAGAATTTCCTCTTTCTTGGGATTCCTCAGTCTTTTTCTCTTAAGGACTTCAAATGATTGGAAGTCCTCACATTATGGAGAGTAATTTGCTTTACTCAGAGTCCACTGATTAAATGTTAAATATATTAAAACATTTTTTTTCTAAGGCACTAAGAGTCATTAAACCTAAATTTCTAACATGTTATAGGATCAGATACTTGATCACAAAACTTCAAGTTTATATTCAAATAAATATAGAATAAGTGGGTAGATCACAAAAATAACCAAAATCTAAATTGGTGTTTGACCAAAACCTGTGCCTAGCCAAGCTGACATATAAAATTAACCATCACATTCCTCTTTCCTGCATCATTTATACTTGTTTCACGGTAAACTTTAATTTTTCACTGTCTAGATCATTTTCAGCAGAATATAAACATCCTGTAATACCTTCATCATTAATAAAAGAAGCCTCCCTTGGCTTTTCTCAAATTCTCTATCTAGTTTCTACTCATTTATTGGTTCTTTTATAGCAAGAAATCTCCAGAAGAATTGATTCTGCTGTATTCAGTTCATCTCCTCCCTTCTTCTCCTGAACCTACACCAGTGTAGATCTCTTTACCACAGCCCCACCAACACTTGGTGCTTGTCGAGGTCACCAGTGACTTCCATTACCAAATCTAATGGTCCATTCTCAGATCGCATCTTTCTCAACATATCAGCAGAAATTTGACACATCTGCTCATTCCATCCTCCTTGAAACACTTTTTTTCATTTGGTTTCTGGGATACCACCACTCATTTACATCTCTGCTTATCTCACTGGTGGCTCTTTCTTATTTCCTTTGTTGGTCTCACCCTGTCTCTCTGACCTCTTACTATTAGAAGTGTCCCAAGGCTTCGTCATTGGACCTGTCCCTTTCTCTGTCGACATTTACTCTATAGATTGACACTCAAAAGCGTGCTGCTCCCAGGATGGCACCATCAGCATCAGCTGGGAGTTCACTAGAAATTCCTATTCCTAGGCTCTACCCCAGACCTACTGAGTCAGAATCTTTAGGGGTGGGGCCTTGGAATCTGTGTTTAAATAAGCTCTCCAGATGATTCTTAGTTATACTAAGAAGCACTGATGTAGGTGATCTCATCTATTTACATGGCTTTAAATGAGGATTCAGATATTCCTAGTCAAGGTATTTTCTTGAAATCCAGATTCCAATCCCATTCTTCCAGTTCCTCAGGCCCCAGATCCAGGAGTCATCCTTTGTACTTTCTTTCTTGCACATTGTCCTTTACCTAATTCTGTTGGTCCTGGTCCTGGCCCTGCCTTATGTGCCTATCCTCGTTCAAGCCACTATCATCTTTCCATATCAATTATTATAACTCATCTCCCTGATCTTCCAGCCTGCACACAGCATCCAAGTTTATCCATTCAGATTTTGAATCAGATCATGCTGTGACTCAGAACAAAACTCTCCAGTACTCCTCCAGTTAAAAACCAAAGTTCTTACAATGACCCGAAAGACCCTACATTATTTGCCACCTCTGACTCCCTCATGCCTCTCGTCTCACACACACACACACACACACACCCACACACCCCACCCCTCTGACTTGGTCTCTTACCCCTCTTCTCCATCACTTTGCTTCAACCACACCAGCCTCCTTATTATTCCTTAAGCATACCAAGTGTACTCCTGCCTCAAGATCTTTGCACTTGATATTTCCTCTGCCTAGATATATACAGGACATGGCTCATTTCCTCATTTCCTTCCTGTCCTCATTACTCATCACCAGTGTCCCTTATACTGTTGTACATATCACTCCATATCCACAGTACTTATTATTACTTGACATAGATCCATCTTATTTATATATTTATTTATTGTCTGTCTTCCATACAGTGTTAGTTCCCTGAGGTCAAGAATTTGGTTTTGTTCTCTACTGTGTCTCCAACAGCTAGAACACAGGCTGGTACATAGTATATACATTCATACAGTTGTTGAATGAATGAATGAATGAATGAGTGTTAACAACAAAAGCAATAATAACCAGTAGTGCTGTGATTCATCTGAGACCCTTAAAATATATACATACAGGTCAGTCCAGTGTAATTTTTATCATTAAGGTAATGAAATAACAATATCAGATAGAGCCTGTTTATTTTCCTATTCCCAAAGTTACCTGCTTCAACTGACTAAATAATCTCTTCCTTCTGGAAAGAAAATGTAAAATCATGTTTACTAAATTCCTGTTACATGCTAGTCCTGAGCTAAGTGCTCACTCTAATCCTTTTGGGTAGTGCTATTATCCACCTTTTGAGAGTGAGATCACTGGTATCACCATTGAAACTCTTCCTCACTCCCTTTCTGTATCTGCAGGAGGATCACTGAGAAGTGGGGCTCTTCCTATTCCCCTCTTTCTCACCACCCTGAAGCTTACATAATTCTGCTTTGAGCAACCTGCCTTAAGTGTGCACACATCTCCTACCTGGCTTCTCCCTTATTGTTCATTTATCTCAAGAGAACCACTCTTTTTTTCTTTCCCAATTCTGTGATCCCAGAATACTCTATTCATAGAAGATAAGTATAACAGTAACTCTAGTGGCAGATCTTCTGAAGGAAAAGAAATCTATACATTTTGAGGTATCTTTGACATTATCAAAAGTCACTGTCATCAAATCAAAATCCTTTAAGTACCAAGTCATAGTAAAATATCTCTATTGAAATTTCCATGCATTGTTAAATCTCCAGGCCTGTTTTTCGAGAACGTGCATTTGAGGTAAAATTAAAAACCTATAGTATATTTTTAAAAATTACTAGAAGTGGTTTTTAAAAAAAAATTGTTTTTTAATGTTTATTTTTGAAGGAGAGAGAGAGAGAGACAGCGTGAGCAGGAGAGGGTCAGAGAGAGATGAAGACACAGAATCCAAAGCAGGCTTCAGGCTCTGAGCTGTCAGCACAAAGTCTGACACAGGGCTCAAACTCACAAACTGTGAGATCATGACCTGAGCCAAAGTCGGATGCTTAACCAACTTAGCCACCCAGGCACCCTCAAAATTACTAGAAGTGTTTTAATATTTCTTACTCCTTTTATAATATTCTAGCCAAGATGTGAATTAGTTTAGAAATATAATTACCACATATGACATTGTTTCTTTGGAGCCTGTGCTTTATAAGCTGCAGACAACTAATTTAAAAACAAATTTTTTTTGGAAATATAGTCTATTTTAAGGTTGGAAACTGTTCAATATGTAGATTATTATGACTTTTAATTTGCTTTCATATTTGACACTTCATTGGTTGAAGTGATTACCATAAATTCTGATTATATAAAAAGTACTCCAATTATTTTGAAGGAACCGGGTTAACCTTAGGGTGGAAATATAGGATGTAATAGTGTTTTGATTTTTCTGTTTGCTTCTTGTCTCTGTCCATGGTAGCTTTTGGTCTCTTCTCTATCTTATGGTAGTTCTGTTTGGAGCATACTCTTTCTATATCATTAATAAGAACTCAAATCCTGTGAAATTAGAAAAACAGAAATGTGTGGATTTAAGGCAGTTTAAATTTATTTTTGATATGCCATAAAACCAATGATATCAGTGCCAGCTAGGGCCTGGATTGGATGAGATGGGAGGGGAAAATGGAGAAGGTAACATTTCAGAGTTTGGGGAAGACAATTTTCATATTAATAGTTTCTTTAGGAATATGAAAAACTGTATATCCTCCAAAGCTGTGTAGTACAGTCTGGGCACTTGTCACATTTTTCTGTTTTTTCCCTCTTTACTTTTTAACCCCTTGTCTCTTGTCACAAAAGAAGTGAGGGCAGGGAGAAGATAAAGAGGTAGAGGAAGGTAATTATTAGGATGCCTTCTTGTTTTCTTCTTAACTCCAATTACTAGATTTTGCTTATTATTTTCATCCCTAGACAACTACAACAGAAAGACAAATTTTTATCTCTACATTATTCATCAATATTTATTTTAGAGACGTATGTGTCCAAATTAGATGACAGAACCTAAGGACTTTCGTGTCTTCTCGTATCTGTACAATAGGCAACTTCCATGTGGAAACACTATGTTGTTCGTTTTTTACAGTCTCAAGGTGGGGGTGGAAGAACTTGAATGGCAAATTGAGGATCAAGAGGAACTTAAAGTAAAAAGGTGTTTTAGGTTATATTGTAAATCATTTATTTTGCATTTAATGATTTTAGCCTTGTATATTTTCCTTTAACTACAAAAGTTATTTTCTTTATAAACTATTTTCAATTTCTTTTTCTACCAGAATATATATATATTTATATATATTAATGCTTATCTAAGGTCCCAGTGACCAAATTGAGTAAAAGTTCTCTGAAAAGTCAGAGCTCAGAGTATCACAGAACAGAATTTAGCAGCTACTGCTCTAAAATTATGAAAGTAAACAAAGGTGGATCTGAAGGCCTGGTAGGCTCTCAGTGAGAATTTGATCTGAACTGAACTGAAAGGATTTAGAAAATACTTATTTGTATGTGTGTGACTAATGGAAAGGAGGGAGAGAGAGGAAATGTTTGGAAGAGTCTTAACTAACTTGCTCTTGATATCATATCAGATTCAAGTGATCGAGAATGACAGAGCCACCAGAGGAGGACAAGTTTATGCCACCAATACCAGAGGCCAAGTCCCTCCCCTGGTCACTACAGATTGTGTGATACAAGACCAAGGTATTTATTTTCAAAAATGTTTTTCATTGAGGTTTAAAAATTTTTCACCATTAAAAAAAAAGTTTTTAGCGTTTATTTATTTTTTGAGAGACAGAAACAGAGCATGAGCTGGGGAGGGGCAGAGAGAGGAGGAGACCCAGAATCTGAAGCAGGCTTCAGGCTCTGAGCTGTCAGCACAGAGCCCCATGCGGGGCTCAAGCTCACTGACCATGAGATCTTGACCTGAGCCAAAGTTGGATGCTCAACCAACTGAGCCAGCCAGGCACCCCAAAAGTTTTCACCATTTTAAAAAAGTGGATGTGGGGCTCGAACTCACTGACCATGAGACTGTGACCTGAGCCGAAGCCAGATGTTCAACCGATTGAGCCAGCCAGGCGCCCCAAAATTTTTCACCGTTTTAAAAAAGCAGATACACTGACACCCTGCAGTAATCCTATCATTGACAGGGAACCTCTTTATAGCTGATAATGGGGACCAATTTTGCCATCAATTGCTCAAGTTCTGAGAATGTATTATCAACTTAATTCTATTTTCTGCTTATAGAAGTCTAAAGAGTGTCTGGTGAGATACAGTTCAATGTACTAATTTAAGAATATTATTTTAAGTTATGAGCTTAAAGTAGTACATGCTGTACTTTGGCTTAATTTGTTTACTACCTTAGAAACATGGCAAGGATAGCGTGAGTAGAGCAGTAGGGGATTGAACATGAGAAATCAGCATACCTGATTCTAGCCCCAGTGATATTTTTTTTTTTCATTAGGTTCTTTAACATGGGTGCTCTCTTTTTCCAATTTTGAATTGGGATGAGTAAAGGCTGAGCTCTTTCCCTACCTAGATGTCCTCTGTGTGTGCCGCCAGTTTAATGTATCTGCCCTTGTACAGGTTTGTTCTTTCCAGGAATATATTATTTTTCTACCGCTTGTGGCAAGTTAAAACACAGCCTGATGACATCATTATTTATGTATTTCCAGAACGTGTTTTTATCATTCTACACTCAAACTCTATACCCGTTAAACAATAACTCCCCATTCCTACATTCCCTGCAGTCCCTGGTCTCCTTTATTTTATTTACTGTCTCTATGAGTTTGCCTCTTCTAGGTACCTCGTGTAAGTGGAATCATACAATGTTTATCCTTTTGTGTCTGGCTAATTTCACTTGGCATAATATTTTCAAGGTTCATCCGTGGTATAGAATGTATCAGAATTTCATTCTTTTTTAAGGCTGAATAATATTCACTTTTATGTAAATACATTATGTTTATCCATCCATCTGTTGTTGGACATTTTGCTATTGTGAATAGCCATAGCAGCCATATGTCTGCTGTGAACATTGGTGTACATGTATGTGTTTGAGTCCCTGTTTTCAATTATTTGGGGTGTATCTCGAGACATGGAATTGAGATCATACAGACATAAGGAAGATGTAAGGAAGAGTATGAGGAAGGCTAGGAAGAGAAGGAAGGACTGGTGAGGTGGCAAGGTGCAGGTCTTCATCATGTCTCTTGTAGCCCTGCCCATGGTGGGGAGACACAGCTGCCTGCCTTGGAGCCCTGAAGTTGGTCCAGCCACACCCCTTTGCTGTGACGACCCTTTGTCCGGCCTGGTTTATTAGCCGATACTTACTAGTGCATTTTTCAGGATAGAGCCCAAATCTCAGACATGTGCAGAAAGTCACAGACACACGTAGGATATAGAGGCAGAAGGAACCTTGGCCTCCATTTGCTCAGCTCTTCCACTTTACAGGTGTGAGGGCACTAAGGGCCAAGGAGCTTAAGCGACTTGCCAAAACTCCACAACTGTTTAGGAGTGGCACCTATAAAGAAAAGCATCTACTTAAAAAACACTGTTTTCTTTGCCTACAAAAAATGTAGATAATGTTTCTTTGGCTATGGTATCGAGTGTAAGACCCAACTTGTCCCTTGATTCTGTGCTTCTGCCTATCCTATGAGACCCTGTTCAGGTACCACATACTTTGTATAGTCACCTCTGATCCACATGGCGGCTCGTTGCCTCCCTGGGCCACTTCTTAATGAATTTGCTCTTCTATGATATTTACTATGCTGTATTACAGTTACCTGTTTTTGTTATCACTCTCTCCTACCAGACTTTGAATTAGCAATAATCGCATCACTGATAAACCTCTTTGGCTACAATACTGCCACTGCACAAAGCTGTCTCCTACCAGACTTTGAAACCAAAGGCTTCATTAGCTCTGTCCCTAAGCCTCTAGCAGGGGGCTTAGCTTCATAAATATTTATTGAATGATTAATCTGTTGAATGTTTTCCAGTCAGATTATCCCATAATGCTCTTTATTAAGCATCTCAAAGAGTTTTGAATCTTAATTACTGAACTTGCAAAATTATCTACTGTAGCCATATCTTTCATGCCCACTTTTGCATACCAATTTATGAAAACAAATGCTCAGTGGCTTTTTTAAAAATTATCTTTGTGCACGTTATCTTCCTGAAACAAAAGTTTGTTTAGTCCTTGTTAGGAGCTCGTTTGTGTGCATATGGCACTGTGAAGAACTAACCCTTTCAAAGAACAAATACTCAATTTCAATATGTTAGTGGTAATTTTGGCTAGTAAAAATTGAGTACAATGAAAAATTAAAATATACTTGAAAATTTTCAAAAATCTTTATTTCACAGTCTGTAAAATCGTGTGATGAGGAAGATCTTCTCTAAGTTGGTTTTTTTTGTTTTTTTTTTTTTTTTTTTTTTTTTTTTTTT